AGGCAGGTGTTCAGCCATCTCCAGGAAAGCAGGGCTCCATCACGCGTAACGGTTACTTGGGAAGACAAACGCCATCACTCCAAACGTCCTCCCCTTCCTTCTTCTTCCCCCAGCTTTATATGCTGAGCATGACGTCATATGGTGTGGAATATCCCTTTGGCCAGTTTGGGTCAGCTGTCCTGGCTGTGACCGCTCCCAGCTTCTTGTGCACCTCCAGCCTTCTCGGTCAGTAGAGCATGGGAAGCTGAAAAGTCCTTGACTAGTGTAAACACTACCTAGCAACAACTAAAACATTGGTGAGTTATGAACATTGTTCTCACCCTAAATCCAAAACACAGCACTGTACCAGCTACTAGCAAGGAAATTAACTCTATCCCTGCCAAAATCAGGACACAAGGCCATTTTTTTTTTTTACAATGCCAGCCCTGGAGGAATCTTCTGCCCCCCTCCCTTTGTGGTGTAGACAGTTGGGACATCTTTTGGGAACTCCACCCTGGCATCTGGGCACAGGCTTTTGGATGATCTGGTGCTCCCTGCATCAAAGCCTTCACTTGTTTACCTCATTTCCCTCTTCTAAATCATTCAAATTCTGCTGCAACCCAACCTGACCCTCTGTGTGCTTCTTCCCTCTCAGGATGTTCTCACAAGCCACCCAGGGACAAAAGCATTGTTCTGGTCAAATCAACATGATGTAAGGGCACATGGGCACCCTTCACTATTCTGAGAGGAAGGAGGGGTTGGGGCACACTGCAGTGGGAAGTTTTGTGCAGTGTCCCTTGGACCTGAGGAAGATGTTGCCAGCTGCCCAAATGACAGTGGCCACCAGGCACTGCCTTGCTGCCTCTCTGCCCAGAAATGCCTCCTCAGGCTGGAGTACATCTGGCAGATGGGAAGCCTGTCTTCTGCTGACCTCTAGTGGGGAGCTGGGAGCCTGCAGGAGGTTATGGAGTGGGTCAGCAGCTACACAAGCTGATGGGAAGACAGTTCCTCCTGCTCTGAGCAGAGCTGTGTTGGAGGAGTAGGCTCAGACAGAAGATTGTCCTGAAGAACAGCAGAAACAGGACTGGGTGAATAACCTCAGGAACAGCCACCAAGTAGGATCATGGCCAGCTCCCATGGCCACAGATAGTAGGGACAAGGCCCCCATGCAACACCATGATCACCTGGTGCAGTGCCTGGCTTCACCCAGCTGTTGCACAGACAGGCAGGGCTGAGGTAATTCACAAGCTAGTTTTGGCCACGTCACAGTGAACCACACACTCAAGTCCCAGTTCCATGTGAACCCAACACCTCCATGGGTCAGAGCAGACCCAGGACCACAACCAGCTCCCAAACTCCCACAGCTGCTCTGTGGTACCGGATGTTCCCAAGTATAGAGTATCTTTCCTTGAGAACAGGCCCTCTAAGGTCTCATCTGTGCCAGGACTCAGTTCTGATCCTGAAAGGCTCTGTGTGAGAGTAGATACCACTACCTTGCCTTGGGACGTGGTGGTTACAGTGGGACATGCTTCTGCACTCAGCAGCAGCTGTGAGCTGTCTCTTTGGAGCAGCTCTAGGTTCAAAAGTGGTCTCACTAGCTTTGACTGATGTTCTTGGGAACTGGTTGGAACAACAGCCCCAGCACATCAGAGTAATTGAGCTGGAGGAGTCTCAGAGGGAAGACTGTAGCTATCCAGGTCTGGGGCTGTGGAAATCAACTTACCCCAGGCAGGAAGTTGAAACTAAGCCAGAAGGTCTTTTCCTCTGCATGGAGGTCCCCCATCTACGTCCTGGCCTGTCCTGTGGACAGCGAGTAGTCTCTCACTGCCCAAGGGCAAAGAGGTAATGACCCTCTCTGGGGCACAAGGTTGCCAGCAGTTCCCATTCTGCTGTGTCCTTCCTATCTACCCTTTTTAAAAACTGTGCCTTTCCTTGGCAGAGCTGTGCCTCACTCCACAACACATTCAAGGCCAAGGGCAGGAGTTGTTCCTAGAGGTGAGCCTGGAGATGTGCACATCCAGTGCCTCCTTGTCTGTCCACACCACCAGGAAATCAACCTGTGGTCAGGGGCTGTAGGCTGAGTCCAAACATTATCCAAAAATGTTCCATTTGGTTAATTCAGAAGAGGTAACATGGCCAGCATTAGATTTTTTTTTCTCTGAATTTGAATTTGGCAGATTGGGATTAGCTCAACCATTACATTAGTGATTCAATACCCAAAAATTAAACCCACAAGACCCCAGGTCCTAAGGCACTAGACAGCCACCCAGTAACCCTTGTGAGCTGTGGTCTACAGTCTTTGGAAACCCAAAATATCTGCTCACTACAAACCCATGCAGGAATTTCCAATTTTGCAACATTATTCCACAGTTTATTTTCAGTGCTGAGCTGATGGCAATAGGGTATGGGGTTGTGGGGGCACCATAGGAGGTTGAGCTTTCCAGGGTCCCATGACTCTGTCTCCACACAGATTACACAACAGATTCAAGTCATTGGCTCATTTCTGTTGTTCATGTTCATGTCACTGCATCTGACTCACTTCTGTTGTTCATATCCACTGAGTTTGTGGTAAGGTCATATGCCTTCACTATTAATGCCCATATCTACATATTCTTTCCTATGATACTTGAAAATTTCTTTCTAGACCTCCTCCCGCATCTCAAGGTGATGATTAAACTGCTGGCACCTCTGAAGCATCCACAATCCCGTGGGTGCAGACAAGGAACTCCTGAAGACACTGTTGTGTTTGAAACAGGGGCTCGGGCACACCAGGGCCAATTGGACCAGGTGAGATTCCCCTCACACCATCTCCATTGCTCTGCTACTGGGTACCCTCTTGCCCTCGAGTCGAAGGGACTGTGACCTGTGGATGAGTCCACGTGGGAGGAGGACACCCCAAAGCCTCTGTGGCTGTGGTTATGTCAGTGCCACAACAGGTATACCTCTGAAGAGATTGTGGCCCAATCCCTTGGCGTAAGTCCACGCTGGAGAAGGTACACCTTGGAGCATCTGTGGCTCTGGATGAGTCCATGCCGCAGCAGGTACACCTGGAAACGTAAGTGGCTGTGCATGAGGCTGTCCTGGTTTCGACAGGGATAGAGTTAATTTCCTTCCTAGTAGCTGGTACAGTGCTGTGTTTTGGATTTAGGATGGGAACAAAATTGATAACGCACCGATGTTTTAGTTGTTGCTAGGTAATGCTTACACTGGCCAAGGACTTTCTAGTTTTCCATGCTCTACCGACTGCACCAATGCACGCAGCATGGGCGGCAAGCAGGAGGAGCTGGAAGCCATCGTGCAGCGGGAGAGGTATGACTT